CCAAGAAGACAGAGCATCCCTTGCCCCAGACCGAGAGTTCCTATCTATACCTTGTGGCGCATAGCCACTGATGGATCTCTGCTCCATAGGCTTATCTAATTCCCTCTTGAAGCTGTCCGTGCTTGTAGCTGCCGCCACCTCCTGTGACAGTGAATTCCATGTGCTTGAATCCAGCTGTTCTACTGTAGCCAACACGTTGACCTATCTTGATCTATCTAGTTACATTCGAGTCCAGGAGCACCTTAGAGCACCGAAGGAGATTTTCTAAGTTAGATTAGAATCCAATAGCACTATGGAGACCCAATGAGATTTTCGGGGTTGGATTCAAATCCAGGAGTGCCTTAGAAACCTAACGAGTTGAGGTTTCCATAGTTTATTAATATTACGGCCCATGGCCAGCAATTTTGGTTACCTCATTCTGTCTCTTGGAAATGACATGTATGTGCACGACACACATCCGTGGGTCTGCCTTGTTTACTGGGTGTAAGATGTCAAATTATGTCATTCTGCACAAAAGCTTCCTTTTGCACCTTCTGCAAGAGAAACAGGATCATGGAATTGCATTGAGGGTTGCACAACTGAGTTCAAGGATATGTGTTCTTTTCTCTTAACAGACCAAACCTCAAAAGACAATTATGCTTTGTGCAGCAAATGCAAGTACTTTAATCCATAGTTCCCAAAGTTTATTATTACAGCCCATGGCCAGTATAGATCAAAACAAACTAGTTTACATAAAATACAGAAAGTGCACAGCCATTTTTATGGGAATATTATAGTAAAATGTACAAAGAAGAAAGAAGTGTTAAGAAGAAGGGGACTTACAATATTCTTGGTGGAAGACGAATCCAGTAGCACCTTATTTATTTATTTATTTACTTATAAGTTCAATTTATAGCCCGCCCTGCCCGCTTCGCAGGCTCAGGGCGGCTTACAATCGGGCACAAGCCCATATATAAAACATATTTAAAACCATTTAAAATCTCTACAGTATAATACCCTTGTTAATTAACAATAGTAACAATAACAACAATAATAAGTGCTCTAGGTATTCTGATCTTCCACAAGATGGCGTATTACAACTGTTCTACCAACTCAGTGTCGTCTGTTCCGGGAAGCACTGTCATTCTTTCTTCCAGAGCCAGGTAATGATGGTACAGTACTGATGGTAATGGTGGCAGCCCCTACTCATACGCCTGGCGGAAGAGCTCCGTCTTGCAGGCCCTGCGGAACTGTGCAAGGTCTCCTCCGGGAACTCATTCCACCAGATAGGAGCTGCCACCAAGAAAGCCCTTAGAGACCAATGAGATTCTTCCAGGTTAGATTTGAATCTCATAGCTCCTCAGGGACCGGTGAGATTTTTCTGGGTTGAATTCAAATCCAGTAGCACCTTAGAGACCCAACGAGCTTTTCTGAGTCAAATTTGAATCCAGTGGTACATTAGGTACTGAGAGTTTCTGGGTCAGATTTGAGTCCAGGAGCACCTTAGAGACCAACGAGGTGTTGGCAAACACCATGGTGCCCACGGGCATCACGTTGGGGACCCCCATGAAGACGTGTGACTGCACACCAAAGCTTATACCCAGAATCAAACTTTGTTGGGTCTTAAAGGTTCCCCTGGACCCCGAACATAATCTGTGTCATCTTCTCTCTGTTCGCCTTAGGATTCAGGGGGGCTTCTGTGAGCAGCACAGGGTGTTCCTCAGGAGCAGCACGAAGCTCATTGTAGAAGGTGTGGTGCCAGATTTCTTCCATGTCATCCCAGTTGGTAACGATGCCATGTTCACTAGGGTACTTCAGGGTCAAGATACCTCTCTTGCTTTGAGCCTCATCCCCCACATAGCTGTCTTTCTGGCCCATGCCAACCATGACACCCTGGTGGCGGGGGCGCCCAACAATTGAGGGGAACACAGCACGAGGAGCATCATCTCCAGCAAATCCTGCTTTGCACATACCAGAACCATTGTCAATGACAAGCGCTGCAATTTCCTCTTCCATTTTGCAGATCTGTAGGGAGGTGTGAGCGTTTGGTGCTAGGAAGAAAGAGCGATCCGATACTGCTAGATCCGCTGCCGCCGGCTGAGTGAGTTCCCCTGGACCCAAACGTTGTTCTGCTGCTTCGGCCCAACACAGCTACCCACCTGAATCTATAATTCAGTAGTGGTGGCAGTGAAAGCCAGGCATGTGTGTATCGGAGTGCTTTCTGCAGCACTGCTGGAGGGTGTCTCCTCGCATGCAAGTGGACTCTTCCCTGAAGCCTTCTGCTCTCCTCAGAAGGGGCCTTGCTGGAGCCCTGGCTAGAGTTGCCAGTGCTACTGGGGGAAATTCCTGGAAACTTGGGGGGGGGCAGTGTTTGGTGGGTGGACCTGGGGGAAGATGTGATGCCACAGATCAGTATTTCCTAACTTGGGGGTCGGGACCCAAAACTGGGCCAGACATTGCCTGATTTGCGGACCCCAAACCGAGCTTTGAAAAAAAAGGGCCTTCCCCGAACACTCAGCGAGGTTCTACTCTGTTCGGGTATTGGCCCCCCCCCCCAACATGCCCACACCATTTCCAGGTGGCATCAGGCACCGCGCCCCTGGTGCGTCTGCGTCACCCGGAAGTGACAAGAATGCATCACTCCCGATGTGCTCGCGTCACTTCCGGGTAACGGGCGCGCTGGGGCACCCTCCGCCGCCCAGAAGTGATGTGAGCATACTTGGTGGGGGACATGTTTGTGTCGCCAGGGGGACTTGAACCAGTTCAGTTCAGGCAGGGGCTTTGGCTCGGGGGTTTGTCTCGGGGCCGCCCAGTTAAAAAGCCCCAAACCGGGCTTTTCCGGTCTGTGCCCATCCCTACTTGTAAACTCTCTAGCTTCTTGGAGCAGGAGTAAACCATGCACTGCTCCACCCAACGATCCTCATCAGGCAAGCTCAGAAGCAACTGTGGGTTATACCTCTCCTCCCTTTCAACCTTCTCCCTCTCCATGTTATCTACACACACCCTTTTAAAATAATAATAGCAGAATAGGGGAGATAGTTGACAGATTAGCCCCTCCCCCCCTTTCCTGCACAGCCCCAAGGCAAATCGTGGCTTCGGGCACCTGCAAACTGCAATACGAGACGTGTGATCCTCATATTGTCTATCTGAGCCCCATCACGTCACCTGAGCGCAGCACCTTCCTCCTGTTTCTGCATCAGGAGTCCCGACAGGGCTATTTTGGGGCAGGAACGCACAGGAACAGAGTTCCGGCTGCCTCCTGAGTTGGCAGGAACTCATTAGCATAATAAGCCACACCCAACAGCAGACACTAATTAGGACTGGCTACATTAGGGGTGTGTGGCCTAACATGCAAAGGAGTTCCTGCTACAAAAAAAGCCCAGGGTTTTGACAACAAAGTAAACAGAATAAGAAGCAAAAGGTGGGTGTGGTTGGATGAGCACACTTCTGGTAACATGTGGGGGTGTGGCCTAATATGCTAATGAGCTATGCTGTCAGGGGTGTGGCCTAATATGCTAATAGGTTTCTGCTGTTGGGTGTGGCCTATTATGCTAATGAGTTCCTGCTGGGCTTTTTCTACCAAAAAAGCCCTGAGTCCCGAGATCTTACAGCTGCTGACTTGAAAGCGGATTCTTCTTAAAATCCCTTCAGGTTGGACCCAAGGATACATCTGAACCCACCTCAAGACCGATAACACAAAATAAGGAGGCCAGTGCCATGGCGGCTATAGAAAAATTGACATTGCTGCTTTATTTATTTGGAAGCCTTTAGCAGGAACATTTAACATACGAAGGAAAAGGACAAGAAGAGGAGTCCGGGTCACTGAGGCTGTTTGCCACGACAGGGAGACCAGCCCCTTCCCTTAGCCTGCAATCCCCCCAGGTTTCTGACCCCGGAAACTCCCGGAGCAGACCCCCGATCAGCGTCCTCTCAGACCGGCGACCACTTCCCCCCTCCCTCTTTTGAACCTGCTCTCCCACCAATCCTCCTTTCCCGTTTTTACAAACGGATCCTCCGAGAGACCGCCACTGTAGGCAGTGTTCCCTCTAAGCTGAGTTACCGTGAGCTAGCTCACAGGTTTTTAGCCTCCGGCTCACTCATTTTTGTCTTCGCTCAGGAAGGAGGGCTCCAGAGCCAACTAACTTATGCAGTCGCCAAACTGCTCGCTCACAACTTTCATGCCGGCAGCTCCCAAAGTAGAATTTTTGCTCACAGGACTCCACAACTTAGAGGGACCATTGGCTGCAGGTGGCACTGGACACCTGCTTCTGGCCTTCCTGTCTCCTGCTCGACTCGTTTCGCACGGGGTTCCCTCCCGCCCCATCACGGCCGCCAGAAGGGTGGAGGACCCAGCGGGCACGCTCCTGGGATCAGGACAGCCAGATGAGAACTTAACTTCGCCGGACCCCCACGCCTCCTCTGGGGCAGCC